TTTACCCAAAATATCCTCTTCAGGTTTATAAGTCCTTTTAGTTGTAGTTGGTATAGAAAGTGTTCTTTGAGTTTTCATGATATATTTTGGTCTATAAAAGAACAATGCGGTGGGAAATAACCAGTGGAACTAACTGATACTCCCTACCCAGAGGAAAGGCAAGACGCTCATATAATCCAACTGCCACTGGTACCATAGGAATCGGAACTCTTCTATGGCTGCTGAAGATGAGGACAGAGGCGTACGGGAATGCTACCAAAGCTGTGATGTTGGTTTTTTGACTCAACTCAGAGGTCTGGACATTATGTAACAGAGTTAAGTCATTGCTTGTTTGTAGGAAGTGGGTTATTACGCAGAGTTATGGTGTACTGAAAATCAACAAGTTTTGGCAGCCTTGACATTCCCTTTTCCAGAATCTTCTTTTCCCGCCAAAACAAGCTATTGACATCAAACTGATGTTGTCTGGCCTTGGCCTTTTTTCTAGAAGTTTTGAAATGCATTCTTTTCATCATGTGACCCAACCTTGTCTAACTAGTAAATAAATACCTTGTTCTCATGCCCTATCAAAGCAAACGCAATTGTCCTTGTTTTGTAGAAGCTTCTATGACCTTAATTGTCAGTTTAACTTCTATATCTGCGTAGAATAGGATGATGAAATCCGATGCACTTTAGATATTTTTAGAAAATCCTACGTGAGAACGTACCTAGTAAACAAGTGGGAGACGTACTAGAATACTCTAGAAGCCGAAGAAAACAAATACCTAGCATTCTAGCATCTAAGTATAAATAGCGAGTAACAAAGCACTTTGGCAATTCTTCAGTCCACAAGACTCAAGAGAGGAAAGACCAGTCACATGGGTTCCCAAGACAGCCTTCAGTGGTAGAGATGTTAACCCAACACTAGAAGCCTTCAGTCGTTGAGACTCAGAGGAAAAGCGACTAGTCTCAATGATCCTCGATGCCAGCTCAACATTGGAAGGAGAGCAGCCGTTCATATTGAACCTCGAAGACAGTCACTGGAGAGCAGACATGTAACGAGACATCGAGCTACAGAGACGACACACAAGATACATGGATCTATGGAGAACAGAGACATACTAGGAACACTATAGAGATGTTAGAGTCAACGATCAAGACGTTAGTACCAAACAACACTAGAAGCCCGGTGGCAGTTACAGACACTAGAACCAGTTAACAAAGTAACTAGAGATGAAGAACACAACGTGAACCTACGAGTATTTGGCCATAGAGAGAACACAGCGCTACTCAGAATATCATTGATGTATTTGTTACATTGTTAAAGTATCACAATAAAGACAGGGTAGACGAGAACCGTTGTTTCCAGCCATTTTATTAAACAAGCATCAGAGTCACATGAAAAGCATGCAGCTAGCAAGACATCATCATCATCATCATCACCACTGTCGACACGACCATCTTTCTCCTCGTCTATAATCTTCCAATCGACTCCTCCTGTAGCAAACCTAAAGACGAACCTGGGTGTGACATCGACATACGCAACAAAGAAGAGAGCTGTGCTACAATTATCAAATTATATTATTTCTATATTTATGAATCTAAGTCGACCCCTTTTGATTGACTGACGATCAAACCCACCAGGACATCACACCAAGCGATAAACATCTGATGACACAAAGTGCCACCATCCGGGTGAGGATCACCCGGGAGCAGCTCACAGAAACCCATTTTAACCCTTGGTTGGGTTATATTAGGGCCCCCGGCAACAGCTGGAGTCGGGCTTTGAAATAACGAAAACTTGTGTCCCATACTGGGACGGTGCACTAAGTAGACCCCTTGACTGACTTTCTACTCCACCAGGACATCACACAAGCGATAAACACCCGATGACACAAAGTGCTACCATGCAGATGAGGATCGCCGTGGAGAGGTCCCAGAAACCGCGTCCAGACATTTGGCCATATTTATGGCCTGCCTATATTGCGGCCCCCGGCAAAAGCCAGGGTGGAGCTTCAAATAAAAAAATTTCATCCTGAAAAGGACGATAGGGAATAATTAGTAGACCCCTTAGAAAGAACTATACTAAAAATAGAAGTAGTACAGTACCACTTCTGCTGACTTAATGATGCATCCAGACTCTGGTCTCAGGTGGTAAATGCTTTAACTAATATGCAACTGCTGCTCCTACGACAACACTAATATGAATGAATGGATGAATCAATCATTCAATCAGGAAGTGATATCCCGGCACTCTGAATTTTCTCTTACATGCTCCGCCCCTCTCTTCAGCAGCCAACGAAGAATTCTAATAATAAAACTTCAAGGGAGGTTATTCTAACAATTTCCACAGGATTCACTAATGGCAGGTTTGAAGTTGTTCTGTGACATTTTTTATGTTATGGTTTGATTTCCGTTGGTATGTAATTTGAATTAATTTTTTTCCTAGAAAGAGTATTGTGTCATTAAACACACAGCGCTTACAATTAAAAATATATGCATGTTATGAAATTGTTTAAAAAAATAGCTGTGTAACTCTTAGAAATAACAGTATTTTAGTTTAATAAGTAATAACTATCTAATTATCTATTCTATTTAATTTAGTTTAGTCCAATATTATCCTTACGTCCTTTTTAGGACGAAATTTTGTCTTATTTGAAGCCCCACCCTGGCTTTTGCCAGGGGCCGCAATATAGGCAGGCCATAAATATGGCCAATTGTCTGAACGCGGTTTCTGGGACCTCTAAACGGCGATCCTTATCCACTTGGTGTCATCGGGTGTTTATCGCTTGTGTAATGTCATAGTGGGGTAGAAAGTCAGTCAGTCAACTATTTAGTCTATTTATTTTTCCTCAAACCGAAAAATTTGAAACAGAAACAAACTAATTAAAGTATTTAAACTAGACATTCAGATGAAAATTCTGCATTCATTATTACTCAATACAACTGTTTTATAATTTTTACAGTTGAACGAAGTGTGAGATTTGTTCATATTAAACTGGCTTTCAAAAAGGAGATCATTTGTCTTGTCACTGACGTTTGAGGTGAGCCAGAGTACATCGGCCCGAGAGGCAAGGAACAGTTTACATACAAATACAAATAAGCCAGATCTGTTAAACAGATATTCATAGAAAACCTCAAGTTCTAGAACAAAGACAAAGTCTAGAAGTGAACGAGCTTTATGACAGTTTACAACCAGTCAATGATAAGATAAGAAGGAAGGGTTAAACCTTAAAGTTGCTGTCCTGGAGGGGAAATTAAAAAAAAAAACTACAGTTGGACACTATTCATTTTACTCATCTTGTATGATAGGCTATACTAGGGTAGAAGTACTGGTAACTGGATGTTCTAACTATAACTTCCTAGGAGTTGAACAAGATATCTGGAATTTGGCTTGTTGAATTGCCATTTGTGATGCCACTCTTGAAGTGATAGAGATGGCCAAACTTTAGGTTGCATCCCGAATATGAAAAATATGTTGCCAGCTATTTACTGACAGTAACATAATTGATCTTCTATCTTTAACTGGCCTCATCTGGAGCAGGCATTTACTCCTTAATAATTTATAGTCTCTTTGTTGCTGCCACTCCATAATTATAATGGTATTTGTCAATTTTTAGCTGTTTCCTTTCTCATTTATATTGGTTAATTCAGTATTTGTACTTTAATTATCACTTTTAAAATTATCAACTTTTTCAATATTTTGTAAATACATGCATGTCATCCAAAATATATAAATGACATTTTAAAAAAATACACTATAAAACAGTCCTATGGTAATATATAAAAACAGTAGACACCATACACATTTGTAACCCCCCCACCCCCCCCCCCCCCCCCCCTCCCTCCCCAATATTTATAAGAAAACACACTCACACAATTTGATATTTTGAATCTCAAATCCAGGAGTCATTCAATATGGTCATCAAATGTAAACAGTAAAAAAAAAACGCGATGGTAAAAAAACAGTAGCTTTCACATAAATAATACCCTCTTCAACCTTCATGGTTGTCATTTAGAGGTATGATGTCCATTGTATTTTAATTGTAATGTGTTTCTATTTTATGTATTATATATTAGTTTCTCTCAGTAATTAATTTAATTTATTTTATTATTAGAAAAAGTGACCTTGCAATGCTTGCTCAAGACAACATGAAATTGCTTTCAATTTTTTAATCAGCTGCTCAAGAAGTATTCCATATCATAGTGATATTTTCCTGCACTTTTCTAGCCTAATATTTTCCAACATAAGGCTTTATATCATACTTTTCCATCCCATTTTTCTGTTGAAATCTTGTTCGTTTCAGGAAAAAAAAAATGATAAATTATCTTTCAACAGGTTTGTGTCAGCACTTTAATATGCTTTCTTCTTTGCCCATGGAATTCTCAGCATCCTTCTATTAAAATAAATCAGTAAACACGTCTGCACCGCCTCCTATTTTTTTTCTTTATGTATATCTATACCAAAAAACACACATAACTTTATGCTTTCGGTGACATTTCTGTAATTCTTAGCACAAATAGACCATTATGGTCTGAGGAGAATGGTGCTGCGGGGAGTTATTAGGGGATCTGGCCAATGCTCAACGCTCAAAGAAAGGGCGAGATGGATGTAGAATCAGACAGTTACTAGTACCATCGGAATTGGAACTCTTTGCTTGCTGCTGAAGACGGAGTACTTATGGGGGTGTCCTGAGTGCTGTAACGCCAATTCTTTATTCAGCATTTAACATTCACTTATTCTAGTAAAAGATAGGTATAGTGATTTCTTCTTCAGCACATGGTTGGTCTCGTAATGCTGATACCAAAGTCCAGAAGTGGACGAACAACCTTAATTTTCTCCGGAAGTTTACATCTGGGGCACGCTAAGATAAAGAAGAAAAAGAATGCTCTCTACACATCAGTACCATGACTGCTAGTTTACGTGTTAATTTTTAACATTGTATCAACCTCAGTCACGTTCTGTAGTAAATATTGTTTCCTCTTTAGACATTCTGTGAATATTAGGAGCAGCATAATTGGTCATGGCAAAGCGATATGATACGTTGTTACGTCTCCTACTTGTTGGTGATACGGGAGTGGGAAAGACATGTTTGATATGTCAGTATGCTAGCAATGAGTTCCATGAAAGCCATCTTACAACAATAGGTAATGTATGATAATTTTCCTATCTTTTTCAGGCCCAAATATAGGGGACACAAAGAATAAACCCACTGGCCCACATCCCCTTTTTTTTCCCAAGAAGCATGTCATAATAGTCGACTAATCAGGGATTTTTCCATCAAAGTCAGACTGCATCTTCCTGAGAGGTGAGAATTCAACAATCTGCATACAAAAAAGCTAAATCTGTTTTTAAAAAAAAGAATATGCACCCAAAACTCAAGTTTTGGAACAAGACCAAAGTCCAGAAGTGGACAGACAGCTAGAACTTTCCATTGGAGTTTACATCCGGTGAACCCGAAGAAGAAGAAGAAGAAGATAATATTGCTTCTCAAAATTAATTCCATTTGAAAAGCTGTGGAGACTAATGTGGCCAATCATACTTATCCACATTTTATGAGATCCAGCGGCATATATCATCACAAAAGACTGTCAAGATTTTCTTTTATCATCTTTCTCAGTTGATCTTTCTATAAATCTTTCCAGTTGTGACAGCATATCCCAGTTTTTCTTTTCTCGTGATGTGGCAGAAAAATTGTGACTACAATTTTCTCTTTGTGATGTTTCTTCCTGACAGGTTCTGGTAATTCGGAGGATGAGGCAGGGAGAACGATGGCATTGGATGGGACACACATTCTGGGAAGATGGGACATACATTGTTAAAACTTAATGACAGTGTAGATAGAATGTCTTTGCATTGGAACCCACAGGGTCAGAGGAGTTTGGGCAGACTAGAGGGCAAATGAAGAAAGGAACAAGAGATTGAAGTGGAACAGATTTGGTCATGGTATCTTTTTCATTCTCCTCATAAACCACATATCCACTATGATGGACGTTTTTCAGTTTCTCTATGATATTGTAGGCTCTGTGGATAAGTCTATGCGTAACGCTTCGTAATGCCGGGATGCCTGGTTCGATATCAGCTGCGGGCCATGCGCCTTGCGTTGGCTTTGACAGTGGTATCAAGAAAGCCCACTGTCCAGAAAGCAATGGCAAACTACTGGACGTACATTTGCTTAGAAAACCATGCAACAGCCAGGGGCTGTTTGGGTTGGTTCTGCAACGTCCTGTAAAGGATATGCAACTAACCTATGATATGTCTTATGTTTTACATGCATACAAGAGTATAGTTTATAGAATTTTAAAAATTATATTGATGTGTGGAAACATTTAAAATATACAATTATTTAGATAATTGTTAGTGTTCTAATATCTGTTAGATAAGCTTAATATCCAGCACAAAAATTGGCACAGGATATAAGTGGCACTTTGGGTAGGAAAGTGCACAAAGTGGGAGAACTGACGAGAGGTCGAGTTTCTTTTAGGCAGACCATGATGAGAACGATGTTCTGCAAAGGACCTGTTTCATGATGACATTTTATATTGTTCGATTTACTTATGAAAAACACAGTGACTGAAGTTATGATATTATTTATTATATAGAATTATCATCTTCATTATTACCTCTTCAGGAGTTGACTTTAAAATGAAAGTTATTGACCTGGATGGGAGGAAGGTTAAAGTGCAGATTTGGGATACTGCAGGTCAAGAAAGATTTGAAGCCATTACCAAACAGTCTTTCACAAGAGCTCAGGTGATAATTAGTTTTCTGTTGCAAGAATTAAAAAAAAAAATTATTTTAGAAGGCATATTATCTTACCGTAAATTAATCTTTGCGGTGTATTCATACGCAGAATAAGTATGTCTGAGTCACCTGGAAAGCAGTAAGAGAAGCAAAAAGTTATAGCATGGTAGCTTTTCATATTTACTGTGAGAGACAACTAGAGTTGCCATGTGTAGTAAGAGCTGGCCCGTCAGTGCTCAAATAGGAGGGGAAGAAAAACAACATTTGCCCAGAAAGTAAAGCAAAGGAACTCTTTTTCACGCCTTCGAACATTACCTCACACTTGTTGTAGGTGTTTTTAACCTGCCAAGGTCATCAACGTCATCATCATGTGCCATGCTGACTAGCATAGGCGTTCATGCATCTTCACAGATCTCTGTCCTTTGTCTTTTGGATCAGTTCTACCGATGATATTTCTCCGTGCCAAGTTTTGAAAATAAATTTGACTCGATGTGGATTTGAACATAAGACCTTTGTTTCAGCAGGTAAGTATCTAGCCACTTCCAGTTGCAACTGTACCCAAAAAAAAAATGCCTGATGAAGTCAAATGTATTGTCCGAAAGGCTGGAATATTGCAGCAGTGTGGTAAACTGGCACAATGCAGCGTCACCCAGACAACGAAAACATTTCCAATTTTCCATTACCATTTCTGTAGTTGCACATGGTACTAATTTTTAGAGAAAAAAAACTTTTTTACCCCATCAACATTATCTTGTGACCTGCCAACTGGCATAGGCGCTCATGCATCTCCACAGATTATAGTCTCTGGTTGCCTTGAACAGCTGTCTTTATGATATCCCTCCATGCCATCGTTTCAGCCCATCCAGCACCATCTCTCTTAATCTGCCTATACCCTTCTTTCCACTGATCTTTCCAGTTGTCACGATGTTTTTCAATGCTTCTCTTCTTGTTGTGTAAGCAAAGAACAGTGTTTGTCTCTTTCTTATTGTTGTATATAGAGATATACTTTCATTGGCCTCTTTCAAGAAATCGTTGTTAGTTACTCTGGTCATCCAAGGTATTCATAACATCGTCTCAGAAACCACATCTCTGTTGCTTCCAAATTCTTCTTAAGTTGTTCAGTGACATTCCAAGATTCACTGCCATACAGCAGAACAGGTTCTATATAACATTTTAGCATCCTCTTTTGTTATTACTATAACTCCTCATATTCCAAGGAGTTGAGCTTAAAATCAACAAATATGTAAGCCTGAAGAAGTTCAACAAATACACTTTTTGGCAGAAGTAGTTTAGTCTAAAAATTCTGATACAAAAGTTTACTATAAGAACTGTCTGTGAAAGACGATAGCAAGGATATTATATTACCTTTGAAATAATCAAGGAACATATGAGTTGGTTCATGCTGAAAGAGTTAAAGAGGGTGTTCCTTTTGTATCATGTTTTAGTAATAACATATCTTATTTATCTTACCAGGGATGTATCCTGGTTTATGATATTTGTTCCCGAAGCTCGTTTGAATCTTTAGGAAAATGGATTCTCTTTGTCAGACGGGTAAGTTGGTGAGAAAATAGTTCTAGTCAAATTCTTTTCTCATCTTTTTTCTCCATATTCCCATGTTTTTGCATTTGCATTTCTTTCAATGCATGGAATCTCTGTCTATGTGATATTTTCATTTATAGTTTTGGTGCAGGGCGTTAGTGTAGCGGCTAAACGCTCACCTGCCAGCCCAAAGGTCTTGGGATTCCAATCCTCCTTGAGTTGGATTTTATCTTGAAATTTACTTTGGTTTCTAGGTCAGCCCAGTCAATAACTTGATGTCAGGCATGCCTGGGAAGTAAAGCCCGCTGAAGTATTGTTGACCACATCAGCCATTTTTTTTTTTTTTACAAACGTTTTAATCGGGAGGTGTCATTTAGTGTATATTTGGCAAGCAGGCGTTACCAGGCTGTTTGTGGTTTTACTAGGCAATTTTTTGTTGCATAGGTTACCATTGTTTTCTGAGAGGTTGGCTCTCGATTTTGCAAGAAAATCTGCTGCCAGATCACTCAAAGCTGGAGTCAAACCTGTCACATTCTAATTACGAAGCATGTTCGCATCACATAAGCCATAGATGCAGATATCTTTGCTTACATAATAAAGGCTAGTTGAAATATTTGGTTGTGCCCATGTGTATCTTTCCTTTTCCATCACTGAACTTTCTAGACATGCATTTTTTCCCATTAGCTTCTAATAATTACCACAATTGTTCAGAGTTTCAGAAATAAGTTTTACTTCGCAGTATGCCAAGGAAGACACAGCTGTAATCTTGATTGGAAATAAAAGTGACCTTGAAGACAAACGTCAGGTGTCAAGAGCTACAGCTCAACAGGTTTGTTTTGCTATACTTACTTAGTCACTCCTCTTCTTTTTTGGGTTATAGAGGTTTGCCAGAGAGATCGCCAATTTTACTGTACATTTTTACTGTTTATTTTGCAGCGCTGTAATTTAGATCACAGGTGTGAGGGAAAGTAAAGACCTTTGTGATGCATATTAAGAGATACTCCCTGACTCACCTCGAGTGCTGACATGCTCTGTGCTGGTTTTACTGAAACCTCATGCAAGACTCCTGCCACACGTCCACGTCATGTGCTACAATTAAAGGCTCACTTTTGTGACCTGAACCAAAGCTGGCAGGGGATCTCGAAGTTGGTGGCCCCTAGAAATGTAATGTCTGGTCTGGCTCTCATCAGCCCACCCCCAACGTATGGGTAAAATTGTCTATCTAAACTCATTTAGAAAATGAGCAACACCCACTTGCCGAACATACTACTAAATGGCAACTTTTGGTTAGAACGTTTGTCAAGAAAAAGAAACCTTCTGAGACTTAGTCCTCATCATCATTGGCACCTTTCCGTCTTTCCAGACGATAGTGTTATATTGCGCTATGAGGAGGCATGAGACTCACAGCCCATGGCGATGGCGAGTGTGACTAGCAAGACCCGCCCGTGTCAAGAAAAGTCTTCCACAATGATAGCATGGGATTTCAGGACCATTTTTGTCAACATTTGTGTTTAATCATTTTCTTTTCAGATGCTCAGCTCTCATCCTTTCTACAATCATTTCTTCCTTCAGTCTCATTCCCTTCCTGATATGCCCTTTCCACACAATACGGTCCATGACATTTTATTCCCATGAGTCCGCCTCAATACCTGTATCATTCATGTCCCACTTGCACACATCTTTATAACGTAGTAGAGATCGGCCTCGACATCTTCTTCCTGTCTTTAATTCACCATAAAGGATGTCCTTAGGGACTCTACCATCCTCCATTCTCCAGGTGTTACCCAGCCACCTGAGCCTTCGTAGACTGAGCATGGAAAAGACTTGTAGTACCTGTTCTTTCCAGTACCTCAGTGTTTGTGATTTTGTCCTGTCACTTAATGCCAAGAATTCTTCTTAGGCATCGCATGTGAAAGCTATTAAGCCGTCTCTCCTGGTGCAAATAGGTTGACCAAGTTTCACTGCCATAAAGCAGAGTGCTGAGAACACAAGCCTGATAGACAAGGGTTTTTGTTTTAATTGTGAGCTTTCTGTTCTCCCAAACTCTCTTTGTCAGTCTGCTCATTGTTGTTGCTGCCTTACCTATCCTGATGTTGATTTTTTGGTCCAGCGATAGTTTACTATTCACTGTGGAACGCAGATAGGTAAAATGGTCTACTGTCTCAAGCTCTTCATCAATGTAGACTGTAGGTCTGTCATTGACACCTTGCACCATAACCTTTGTCTTCTTTTTTCTGACTGTTAGTCCAAATTCACAGCATCAGCAAAGGCAGATAATAAACATTGCAGCTCCTCCTGTGAGTGGGTGGATATTGCGGCATCATCTGCAAACAGCAGCTCTCTGATAAGTACCTTTCTTATCCTGGTTTTGGCCTTCAGCCTGCAAACATTGTAAAGGCTGTCGTCAGATTGAAAATGGGTTTAATCATCTGGGAAGGGGAAGACTAAAGCGAAAAAACTTTGTAGAGACAGCAAAAACTAAAATCAGGGAAGATCCTGTACTTAACTTATCAGTATCCAAACCCGTCCACATTACATATATGCTCCCTGCTTGGAGACAGCAGCATCTGCCTGAATTTATAGAAAATATTCCTGGTTTTGAGAAAAAGAACACTCAGAATGAAACAGAAAGAAGGAAAATCACATTAAACTACTTAGAAGAACAATACCCAAGTAACACCTGGACATGCATATACAGACGGATCAGAAAAAAATTCAACAGGAAATGGAGGTGGGGAAATCGTCATCAATCTAAAAAATGGATCAAAGAAAACACAGTCGATTGCAACCGGAAAGTTCTCAAGTAATTTTAGAGCAGAGGCAGAGGCCCTGAGAACTGCAGCAGAAATGCTCCTGTCAGAGAAAAATAAAGAGAAATACATAGCTATCTTCACAGATGCAAAGTCAGTTGTCTCAGCACTGAAGAGCAAAAATGATACAGAACTAGCAGACCTTAGAGCTGCACTCCATGGACTGAGTCAGAAATCAAAAAGAGTCATAATACAATAGATTCCATCCCATTGCAACATACCTGGAAATGAAGAGGCTGACAAATTGGCAATTGGAAGGTGGAAGACTACCACAACCTGATATAGACATAACATATGATGAGGCCAAGAGGTTTATAAGAAGCACATATAGAATCAGATGGGATTCTGAACATCCAGGCTACAAGAAGGATGATGCATACTACCAACTTGGCCGAAAAGAACAAGTAGTGATCTTTAGACTCTGCACAGGACATAAGTGGCTGAAACACCACTTGTTCAATAAACTAAAGATAGGAGACAATGATGATTGTAACTGTGGAAAGGGTAAAATGACAGCTAAACACTTGCTGCAAGAGTATCCAATATATGCAGAACAGATAAAATTATTCTGGCTAACACCCGCAACTTTTGAGGATAAATTGTGTGGAGATGTCAACAACCTCAAGTTGACTGCTGATTTCTTCAAAAATATCCACACTAACATCTGAAAGTATAAGAAGAATAAAACTCCGGGATTCTCTGAGCTGATAGTCCCTAGAGATGCAGAGCTTGTAAACCACGCAAAACTATAGTGGATGAGGAAGCTGATAGTCCCTAGAGATGCAGAGCTCGTAAACCATGCAAAACTGTAGTGGATGAGGAAGCTGATAGTCCCTAGAGATGCAGAGCTCATAAACCACGTAAAACTATAGTGGATGAGGAAGTCCACTGCAGTAAAAGTCTAACATGCAAAAGAAGCAAAGTACAAATTTTGTGGTGTAGGTAAATTAAATCCTAGGTCTGCAGGCTGCATACTGTTGGCTACAAAAGAGATAGCCCATGATGTATGAGATGTTCAATATATGGAAGTGAGGTTAAACAGTCATGAGCAGGACGTGATGATTCCTTGGGTGAGCCCAGTACCAGGCACCATGTATTAGCTCTGCATTTGTGGAAGCCTCCTTGGATGGCGGGGAATGCTCATGTTCTGCTCCTGCCTTCTCTTGAGGGCTGAGCCTGATAGGGGCACCACCTGTGACCTGGGAAATAAAGATGACCACACAACAATGAGACTGCCAGTTCCTAACCGGGAAGGCTAACCTGGTCAACAAATGCCCGCAGAAGTCGGATGTGTTGGCCGAAAGGTGCAAATATCGCAGCCATGCTGTAAACGGACACAACGCAATTACATTTTCCGATAAACGTAGAAGAAGAAGAAGAAGAAGAAGAAGATCGACAATGAATGAAAATACCACCCTCCTGGTCTCGAAAGGCATGTGTCAAAAAAAGTGAAAAGTATATTCCAAAGAGGGTAGGAGCAAGTACACACACCTGCTTCACTCCATTTTTGATTAAAAACTCCTCTGATGTTACATCATCAAAGTTTCATACCTGTATGGAACGACTCAATAATGCTCAGTAGAGTAGGTAAACACCCAATCTTCTTCATTGCGCTGAACAGACCTTTTTGAAAAATCAAATGCCTTGGTAAGATTAATAAAAGCAACAAACAGTGGTTGATTTTGTTCGTGGCATTTTTTCTGCAACTGTCGTTATGAAAATATCATATAAGTGGTAGATCGGTTGCCACGAAAGCCACACTGGGACTCTGGGTAAATGCAATCTCCCAGGATGTGGAGTCTTCGCAGAACAGTTCTTGCAAGCATTTTCCAACCGTACACAGCAGTGATATTCCCTTGTAGTTATTGCAGCCACTCCGATCACCCTTGTTCTTGTACAGAGTTGTGATGCTTGCGTCTTTGAAATCTTGCGGAACCTCTCCCTCTTGCCAGCAGATTCTTATTAGCTGATGGATGTGTATGGTTAGAATGTCTTTCCCACTCTTGTTGATTTCAATAGGATTTTTCCATCTCTGCCTGGGGCTTTCCCTGAAGCCAACTCACCAATAGCATTCCTAACTTCAACAACTGTTGGAAATGTGTCCAGATAGTCAAGAGTTTGTAGTGTCTCCTTGGCATTAAGAGCACCATCTGCTAGTTTAGTATCAACTGAATAAAGCTCCAGATAATGTTCCACCTATCTAACTAGCTGCTTCTTCTTGTCATTAATAATCTCCCCATTCAAATTCTTTAGTGGTGAACTTTTTTTAATAGTAGGACCGATGGCCTTCTTGATCCCCTTATACATGCCTCTAACATTACCACCGCTGCTTGCATTTTGAATTAGTCCTAGATCAAGAGATTTGCTCGCAGTTTAGGCGTGCATCTCCTGAGGGTGGTTTCTCATGGTATGGTCCTGTCTTCACCATTCTCTATTGACCTTCAATGTTGTCGTCATTACTTTGAGGCATACTACACCAGTCTCTCACTGTGAGTATGCTGATTAGGCCTATATGTCTGTCAGATGCATGTCCAATGACATAACAGCTAAGTCTCAAATGTCCGACCACCAAAGGTCTTGCTGGTTGGCAGAAAGGTTCGAACATCTGTTACCATTGGACCCACTCACCAGAGTGGTGGGACCAAAGAAGAGAAGCCATGCCGCATGCATGTTTTTTTTTAGATACTATTGTGCTAAGTGTCCTAATGAAGCAATGTTAAAGGTGTCTAATGTGCTAAAGAAGAATGTGCCTATTTGTGGGGTCATTGGAGTCCCTGCAGGCTAATCTCCGGAGGTTGCAGCCCCTGATGAGTGGGAAGCTCATATGGATGTGAGGTTAAGCAGTCATGTTGCAGAATGTGATGATTCCTTGGGTGGTTCTAGGACCAGAGCGTTATGTGTTGGCTCTGCCTTTTTGGAAGCCTTCTTGGATGACCAGGAATGTCCTGATCTGCCCCTGCCTTCTCCTGAGGGCCGACCAGTGTACACGCAGTTACCCTGGATGGATTTCCTAGGGGCAACACCTGTAGGTAAGGGGAACAAAGAGAACATTGGAAACCATTCGATAAGCTTAAACCCGTTCAGCAAATGCACAATGAAGTCATATGTGTAAATCAAAAGGTGCAAATATCGTTGCTTTGCTGTAAGCAGACTTAAGACAACACTATTACGCCACTTGGACAAAGGAAAAGAAGAAGAAAATTTTCAAATTAAAAAATTGTAGATAAGCCAAACTGTGGACAAGGTAATATAGAATAAAAACATTTGGGAAAAAAAAAAATAGCAGAAGGCATGGTACCAGGAAGGAGGGGCAAGGGCCGACCAACACGAAGATGGGCACAGGATATAAGTGACTCCTTGAGTATGAAAGTACATGAGCAGGAGAACTGGAGAGATCAAGTTTCTTTCAGGCAGACCGTAATGACAGCGACAGTCTGCAAAGGACCTACTACATAATGATGGTGCATCTGGCATATGATGCTAGACTCATATTTGTATGACCAAAGGGAACTCAGCGGCTGATATAGTCAGCATGACACCAGCCACCTTTACTTCGCAGGACATTACCTGGTACCTATTTTAGGTTGGGTCAACCTGGGAGCCAAGGTAATTTTTTTGGGGGAAAAATCTCTTTTTAAAGCAGATTTGAACCCAGGACCTTTGGCTCATCAGTTGAGCACCAAGCAACTGTGCCATGCAGCTCCTGGAAGATATCAAAGTATAATTAACTAACTTAATGTTTGGATATTCCTCTGCTGTTGCAGTTTGCTGATCAAAATAATCTCAGGTATTATGAAGCAAGCGCCAAAAATCTGGAGAGTCTTAAACAGGTGAGTTGACTGTCATCTCAAGATGATGATGACATTAATATTTTAGAGTTTGTATTTGAGAAGATTTTGCATTTATAAATGATGCAAAGATTACATGTCTGGCCCAGAAACAGTTAATGTAAAAGAAAACTAAACATAGCCGGTTGAACAGTATCAAAATCTTAAAAGTAAAACGGAAAAAAACCAATCACAAAATAGATTATAGAAAAAGAAGAAGAAAGAAAGAGGGAAAAAAACAAGACAAGAAAGGAGGGTTTTTGAAATGAAAGTTTTTAAGAAGAGGACAAGAATGGTTTCTGAAGAGTCATTGTTTAAGACAAGGGTTTCTGAAATGTCTATTTATGTTCAGTAACAGGAAAATAATTGTCTCTGAAGAAGCTGCATGCAGCTCTTCGACTTAGAAGTTAGTGAAATGGCTTGATAATGCAGTCCTTGATATTTAACAGGGTTCAGTTCTCACAGTAGGGGGTATAAAAGAAGACTGTTCTTATGGCTTTCTGGCAGCAGAACAAGAGACACACTATGCAAGAGATTTGGGCCTCAGCTCGTAATGTACCCAAATTTAGCACTGGGTAAATTGTAGTAGACCTTCATTCTGGAGATAGCACATTTATTATTTATATTCAAGAACAGGAAAATAAAAGCCTCTGATGTTTAAGGAGAACTTTTAAGGGCCTGTGTTCAAGAAGAAAGAGTAATAGTCTCTGAAGAACCAGTGTTAAAGAAACAGGAAGGTAATGGCTTCTGAGTCTTTGAAGTGCCACTGTTCACTAGTGATTTATTAATGTAGGATTTGTCATGTTTTAAAGCCTTTTAAATCTTAATGGATAGCTTTGTGCTGGCTGGTCGAGAATGCTAGGCCTGTTCACCTTTATACGTCAGATTTGGAAGAGGCTGCAAGTGCAAGCCTGGGTAGATACTGGTAGTTACAGCTTTGGATACTCCACGTCGTCGACATGTAGCTCTGCTTCATTCATTGTGTCTTGAGTGTCATGTCTCTCTCTGGTGTGCACTGTCTGGTGGTGGTCAAGTATGTAGTATATAACAGAAAGGCTATTATAACAAAGTCTTCTGGCGTGGGAAGATGTGAGCACATGGATTGATAAATGCTGTTGGGGATCACAAGATGTGGAGAAGTATAATCGCTCATGTCAGTCGGCGAGGCACTTGCTGATGATGAGACTCATGGCAGATACTGCAGTCATCATCATGCGCCTTACATTTTTTAGGTATAATGTGTGCTGCTACAAGAACAGTAGAAAAAATAATGTTGTGGTTTCCCCCAGCCTTCCACACCAACCTCTCGGTATGTTACCAATGTTTTTGATAGTAATCTCCAGCTGTCAGTACAGCTGAGTGCCCTGCTGAGCTGTTTTGGAATTGTCAGTATCCTCATGGATGCTCGATCTCAAGTGCTGCATTTGTCATATAATTGTGTGTCGTCCATCCTCCACCTCTTGGAGGTGCAATTGGGATTTTCTCTTCAAAGTATATGATGGCTTTTCTTATATTCTCCAGTACTTTGAGGACGACACTACTGTACATATCTAAGTGTTACATCTTCACATATACTAAATATTGACATAATGAGGTTTGGTGACCAATTTCCTTCTGCAGCCACTGTTTTTCTAATCAAGCAGAGTAACCACTATGGCTTAAATAAATGATTAAACAGAAAGAAAAGGCTGTATATGGTATTTGTAAAGTCTCAGTACACTTTGTACGCAAAACAAATCTGAAAAAAACGTGCTTACAAAGTTATTAAATTAGTTACAGCAATTACTGTAATGGTATAATGGTATAATGCTGTTTTAGGCTATAGTATAATGCTGTTGTGGGGAAGCTGGAAGTCCTAGTGAGGTATTCATTATATATAATAGGTCCTAAACATTTCTGCCATGTTCTTCAAGACATGACAGTACACATCTCTTCATATTGTCAAATACCTTCTGCAATGTATCTATTGTTATTTCTCAAATGTTAATGCCATTAATGCTTCTTTTGATAACACCCTTCTGTTTTGAGTACAAAGAATTACCCCAGCAGAAGACAGTCAGTTGGCTGTGGATCACATTTTCTGTTGATGTCATGTACTTACTTTTTTCACATTTCTTCTACATACAAAGTGTAGTGATACTTTACAAACACCCTCTATAATTAGTATGATTAGCATCACCATGTGGGTTCTAGGGTCCCGTTTTTGAAGAAGAAAAAATAAAGAGTAGAGTTTCTGCCTCCCTAAAAAGCACACTGTAAATGGCGACTTATTAGGGATCTTCCCTCCAAAGCCAGAACACATCTACCTGAGAGGCGACAAAACAGCAGTCTGCATACAAGTAAGCCAGATTTGTAAAATGGATGAGCACTCAGAATTCAAGTTCTGGAATATAAGTCCAAAAGTGGATGGACAGCTGGTACTTTCCGCTAGAGTTTACAGCTGGTGAATGCTAAGAAGATGAAGAAGTTTCAAACCAAAGAAGAAGATTTTTGGCATAATGTTTTTAACATACCTTTGTTTTTTAAAGTCAATCTTTCCCATTGTAATTATGAATTACATTAGTAATTCCTTGTTTTCCTCAGTCGTGTGCTGTCTCCAATACAGTGAATCTCCAACATTCTGTCTCTCTTCCTGTTTGTGCATTCTGACAGACTGCTGTTCGTGCATATCTTGATTTAATCTTTCCGCTTGTTTCAAAGTGTACCTCTTGTTTGTCTGCCTTCAGCTTTTTTCTCCAACATTAGAAATAATGAAGACTGTCATCACAGAACTCAGTACAAATCCATAGCTGCTCTGATCTCCTTCTCAGCAGCTCCATAAGCGTAAAATTACTTATCACACCCTCACTGTGTTGATTCATTAGACGTTCTGTGCTCTGGGTTGCACTCCCACATCCACCAGCCTGGACATGGATAATGAGTTCTGCTGGTTGTCGTGATAACCTTCATATGCACCTCACATGCCGTTAATGACGCCACTCTTGATTAGTTGCAGGCCTTTCGTAGTAACTGCATTGTCCACCAGATAGTATGCACACTCACCTTGAACACCCACATGGCCCACTAGAGATAAAAGTTGGACAAGGTATTCATAATCACCGGCCCGGCTCGCTAGCTCAGTTGGTTAAACCTGACTGTGCGGCGACCAGGTGACGAACTGCTTGTGGCTTGAACTCACGTCCGGAGGAAGGTAGAAAAGCCACATTTCTCCAAGATTTACAGTATCTATAATGGAATCAAGGCTGAAGGGTTGCGATGTCCATAGTACCGAGCCTAAGGGTTAACAACTCATGGTTTCTGGATATAAAAAAAAAAAAATTAAAATTTATAATCACTAAACATTCCACTTGATATATATAAGGCATGTGGTTAAGAATTTATCTTTTTATGCTGTTGCTTTTCATCTGTCAGCCTTTTGAGGATCTGTGCCATGATATAGTGAGGGGAAAATCAAGATCACCATTCATAAACAATGAAAATATAGACCTTACTGCTTCACAACCAGTGTTGACAAATACAAAAGACAGTTCAGACAGAAGAAACAGGAACAAGTACTACTAGAACATCTTGCTGTTGAACAGTTACCCAAACATTTCCCAGCTTCAGGATTTTATTTAAGGCCATTGTTGAGAGATCCTTTTTTCTTTGCCCATCAGTTTTCAGGTAAATTCAAAGTGTGCTTTTGATCTAAAGGTAAGCAGATATTTATTTATTAAATTCCTTAATAATTTCTTTCATTTGAACTTGATGGAAATGTGGTCAAATTAGCACATTTATGTTTTTATTAATTTGTTTGCTGTTTTCTTATCTCAACATGAAGGAACTTATTTCTGAATTTTTATGATGTTTCCAACATCACCATCATAAGATTAGTCAGTCCGAAGATTGGTGTTGAAGACTAACTACTACCTCTACTGTCTTTTGTCCTTGACAACTCTCTTCGGCTTGCATATGTGTAAACCCCAATGTTCTTGCATGCCTGTAACAGCAAAGGACCTGTTTCCACAGGAGCTGCCGTAAAGTAGCAGCTAAACGCTCACCTGTTGCCCTGAAAGTCTTCAATTCAGATCCACATTGAGGTGGATTTTTTTTGTGTCCCCTCAAAATTGACCTTGGATTCCAGGTCGACCCAACCTAACACTGGTACCAGTTAAAATTCTGGGAAGTAAAGGCAGCCTCAGGATGTTGAAAACATCGCCTGCTGAGTGTGGATAAATCTATTAAAACATGAGTCCACCATCATATGCCTGATGCGCCACTAGCGTTTAAAAAAAAGGGGGTGGGGGAATGGGGGTTCTTTACTTACCCATCTTTATACCTTGAGACATATTAAGTATATAGTGTAGACTATATTTTTATAGACCAATTGGCTTTTGGTGGGTATTATGGGCTGGCTGCCTTTACTTACCATATCATTTCTTTGTACTCCCTGTGTGGGATCCGCTGCCTTTTATTTAGGGGGAAAAGAACAGACCCCCTGTATTGGTAATAAGAATATCATAAAAGGCAACTAATAGGGGATATTTTCTTCAAAATCGGGAGTGCATCTGCCTGAAAGGGGAGAACCAACAGTCTGCATACAAATAAGCCAGATCTGTAAAATGGTTGTGTATGCAAAACTCAAGCTCTAGAACAAAATTCAAAAGTGGATGAATAACCAGAACTGTGCACAGAGTTTACAGCCAGTAAATGCTAAGCAAAGTATAGGAATTTCTTGATACCTATTTTTGGGCTGTGTCGACCTGAACCATGATCACTGAGCCAGCAGGTGAATATACTAATATTCTGGCCATTGCACTGACATGACACTTATTGGCAGCCCTGCTTAGCAGTCAAAAATGGCCAATCAACTAAAAACTAATCCGGGCCAGCAACGAAACAAATAATGATTTGACAGTTGCTGGAGCTATGCGGTTTATGGTTTGTGCGATTTTTTTGACATAAAAACATGCTTTGAGTCAAAAGCAATGTTGTAAGCAATCGGTTCAGCAGTTTCCGAGTCTATAGGTAACAGACTCAGAAAATTATTTAAAAAAAAATTAATATAGATGTGTTAACCAGATGTAGGCAGTCATGGTAGCATAGTGGCTAGATGCTCGCCTACTGGCACTAAGGTCATGGTTCAGAACAGCACGGGGCAGATTTTGACAAAAGTAACCTCTATTCCCATGTCGAACTAGTCTGAAATGGGTACCAGGAAATAGGAAGTAAAGTCAGCCGGCATGACGCACACCACATCACCCACAAAGGGCTGATTTATCTCTGATAAGTACGACTGATGGATCAATTGCATGAAAATGGCCCTTTACTGTTACTTTTCTCCTGGACTTTTTTTCTGATACGTTTTGGTCGGAACCAGTGCCTTTTTTTTTTTTATCTAGAAAAAAACGCCCTGCTTTTTACTAACCAAAATGTAGAAATGTGAGAACCCAATATGTGTGGTGACTGGGAACCATTGCAAAGAGTGGATCACATCACATACTGCTTGAGACTGTTAATTACTTTTGGGTAATACCAGTGCCAAATAATTTAATTTTTATAATGTTTTAATTGTAGCTGTTTAAAAAATAAATATTCAATTGTTATGTTTTAAACTGACACTGCTGTCATAATACATCTTCACTGTTAAGTATTTCAGCCTTCATCTAGTCATACAGCTTCCTAATAATTCCATTCATTCCATATATTGCCTTTTATTATCTGTGTGCCTGCAGTGATAAACTTATCCATGATTGTTTTATACATCTTTTCCTTGGTTTACTGTTTCGGTATTTGCACCGTGTTTTGCCTACTGGTTTTCCTGTAAGGGTTTCTTTATGTCTTAGAATTTGGCCCATCTGTGATAGCTGTAACTTTTGTATTATCAGAAGTCTTCTTTGTCTGTGTGTACACCGGCTGTAAACTCCAGCGGAAAGTTCTTTTTGTTCATCCACTTCTGAACTTAAGTCTTGTTCCAGAAACTGAGTTTTGAAAAAGACCGACAGTCACCATGTACATATACTGGTGGGTTAGGGTTATGGTTAGATGCAGCGATGCTGACAGATCAAGGAAATTCATGGAAAAGCCAAAGTCATGAATACTGTTTCCAAACAGGGCACAGTTGTTGTGACGAATGAAAGAAAGTAACACACTGTACATGACGATGTAATAAACAATGAAAACGCTAAAAACAACCAACACATGACACCCTTAGAATATAGGAGTTTCAGGGTTAGTGTTAAATGAACACCAACAAACACTAACCCTAACCCCCTCTATACTTTAGCACTGTCCTGGGAACTCCCTAAGAATTCCCTATGAACTCTCGGAGCCATGATGAGGTGAAAAAAGCAGGAAAGAACCTCAAGTTTTTATTTGTTCTGTTTCTGTAAATCATTTAGATGTCTGTTTTTTTTTAATTCCCTCTAATGCGTGTCATTGTTTGATAAGCTATCTTTAATGCCTCTTCACTTTTCATTGCTTTTATCCATAGTGTGTATTTCTGAACATCATCATATGCCCTGCCGACGGGTGTAGGCAGCCACATGTTCCCATCCCATATGATCTCTAGAATCACAGATCAGGCCAGTGCTCCTGTCTTGCCCATTCCACATGGCCAAGCCACCTGGGTATTTTTCAGTTTTTTCATTTCAAATCAGACTGTTTTAACTGGTCAGATATCCATATAGAAGATTCTTTTCTTTAACATAGGTATATGTTTGATGTAAAGATTGCTTTAGTTTTATTGACATCATATCTTTGCCATCATGATCCTATATGTAATACATATTTCATATTCAACGTTTTCCATTACAGGTTGACAAAGGTAAATTTATTATGAACTTTTGCTCTTCACTTTTGATTTCATCACTACTGATTTGGTAGAATCTGGCTGTTAAATATTGCTTTGTTGATATTTATTTTTATTTTATATAATCTTGATGTTTCATTTATTTACTTCAATAATCTCTGGAAGTACAACTTTATTTCTCCTGTTTTAACCTGGTCATCTGTTAATTTTATCGCATTGATTCTTCTTCTGGTAAATTTGAACTCCTAGATGGCATTCTTCTGTTTGCTTTTATCATCATCACCATAATGTATTCGTTAATTTGATTATCATCTGTTCAGTTCATCTTGTCTTGGTCACCCTTTTACTCTGCTTGAACAGCCCTGATTATATATGGTCCAGCTGAAGATAATATTTTGAGCTTTAATTTGATTCACAAAGCTACAGCTGTCATGTTGTTCTTTTTATTAGCATATTTACACAGCCATATAAAATATATACAGCTAAGAAAATTTGAAAGGTCACTTTCAGTTTTTAGGTCATTTTAGCTAAACTGTTTTTCTTAAAACTTGAACTTTCAGCCAAAAATGTGTTGCTACATTTTGTTGCTTGTTTAAACAGTGTTTATTAATTTGACAGTACACAAGTCTGTGTTATGTGTGTGTACCCCCAAGGTCAGTCCAAAGCCTGATGATAACATTGCTGAAATGTGCTTTTCATGTGCAAGTGGTGACTCTAATGGACACATGTCACCCACTTTCCCACTTTCAAGAAGGAATGGTTAATGAGTATATTTGTAACATATACCATTTTAGCCATTGTTTAACAAAGATGCTTGACCAGTGTCGACAGACAGAGAGCATAGCATGATTAGGGGATGATGTAGGGCTAGATGGAGTTCCTAGGAGTTGCCTACTATGTCGTACAAACTCTTCATGATCGTTATAATGCAGCAGGCAGTGTCGCAGAATAACGCAGGTCAGGACGTCCAACGTTTACCATAGAAGTGACCTTTTTTTTAAAACTTATTTTACAATTATTTTTGGCGAGCAATGAATCTTATGCAAAATTTTTAATTAATGTGTAATTTACTTTCTTGAAAATATTTGTATCTTTTTACTTTATATAATTTTTTTTCAGTGTTGCATGTTATCTAAAGAGAAGTCATTAGTACATTATCTGTTAAGCTTCAGATTGTTAACATGAAAATGTGTTGTTTAGAAGATTGTTCTTTGTAAAGTAGTAGCAGTCATTTAAATAACAATATCCTGTTCAATCCAACCTGGTTATAATTGGGATATATATAGTTTTTTTTATCTTTCGGTAAGTAATGGATATTTATGCTTATCAGTTATGTTTGGTTAGTCAGTATTGCATATCTTATGTATTAATTTTATAAGATTGTAGGAGTATAGATTGTCAAGCTCAATATATTTTAGTGTACTTTAAAACCGTTATAGTAATTATAGTGTGTAGTCTATCTTTGCGGATATTTGAAGTGATCTGGGATATCATTATTCTTTCTAAAAATATTTTCTTTGTAAGTTTTGACATAAAGTATTTTTTAAAATTGTGATTCTGGTTTATAACTGCTGTTTTTAAGCTTTAATTACAAAACTTTTTATTGCTTCACAACATATTGTTTTTTTTTTCTTTTCTTTTCTTGAACTTCAGTCTCTGAATATTTCTGCTTGCTGTTATAGTCTCAGGCTGTATATTGTGAGGCACTTCCTTTATCTTTTCTGGAAATAAGGGATCAGCAGTATTATAATATTATATCTCATTCGCTTGT